GGGGAAGAGGCTGGCCCTGTGGCTACATACAGGGTCGCAGGGGCGGCCGGGCCCCCTGGTGGGCCGGGCCCGGTCGCAGCCGCGACCCCTGCGACCCTGGTATGTACGCCACTGGTAGAAAGTCTGACAAGGTGCGAAACTTCCTCCAGCAACATTCAGTTGAACGGGAGCATCTCTGCAGGTAGCAGGTTGGCTTGTTGTTCCACAGATGAAGGCGCGCCCTCCCTGAGTGTTCAGAATGGATAGCAGCTGAGAGCTGCTGGAGGTCAAGAGAATTCAGATTCCTCCTGAGTTGAGGGGGGTTAGGCTGAGGATATTGTGTGTGGGCACTCAATAACAAATGATAGGAGGTGGTGTAAATCCCTCATGAAGCTAGCTACATCACCTAAGTCCCCCTAAATGCTGGGCATACCACCTTAATTCCCCCTAAATGCTGGGCATACCGCCTTGATTCCTTCTAAATGCTGGATATATTCCGACTTAATTGCCTAACACACTCCAGGGGTATACTGACAGGGAGCACAGGATATAACACACTCCAGGGGTATACTGACAGGGAGCACAGGATATAACACACTCCAGGTGTATACTGACAGGGAGCACAGGATATAACACACTCCAGGTGTATACTGACAGGGAGCACAGGATATAACACACTCCAGGGGTATACTGACAGGGAGCACAGGATATAACACACTCCAGGTGTATACTGACAGGGAGCACAGGATATAACACACTCCAGGTGTATACTGACAGGGAGCACAGGATATAACACACTCCAGGGGTATACTGACAGGGAGCACAGGATATAACACACTCCAGGGGTATACTGACAGGGAGCACAGGATATAACACACTCCAGGGGTATACTGACAGGGTTAATGTAATGTAACACAGACATACAGATACAGACGAACAGACACAAACACTGACAGACATACAGCTACACAGACATGCATATACACATACAAGTCAAATTATACTTTTTTTTTTTTTTTTAATTCTTTATTTATACATGACAAGAACAGTGGCATAGAAATTGCAATTCGGCTTGCACAGAAGCCCCTGTACAACGGTCTAAGCAAATCACGTTTCCGACCCTGAGGTTGTACATATATGTGGGATTGCTCTGTGGCTATATGTCACCGTCCATCACGGTTTTTACCATGTATAAGCACGGTTTTCTTAGGTCCCCCGTTGTGTTGTGTGTGCCCTCGCATCTATCTTTTGCACCGCTAGTTTAGTTTCACGCCGTCGAGTGCATAGCTGTCGGGCTGATTACTTCTGTTGCCTGTCTACCCTCACGACTGCTGGATTCAACCCCATTCCGCTGCACTCCCCCGTCTCGCCTCCGTCGGGTGCATGTGTTGTATGCTGTTGGCACTCTCTTCTAGGCTTGGTCCCCAGAGAAGGGTTTAAAGAAAGAAGAAGAGAAAAGAGAAAGAATAGAAAAGAGAGAAGAGTCCCAGGCACAGGAGGCCGAGGGGGGCAGAGGGTCACGCGACACAAAAACCGCCCCTCCCTCCCCCTTGGGGCCTGCCCCACATTCCCCCCAAACCCACCCACCCAATCTCCCACACCCACCTCGGTCTATTTCGCTAGGTCGTGCCCCTCCCTCCACCATCGCCCCACCGGACCCAACCCACGGCTCCCACACCTTAGAGGTCTTAGAGGTGCCCCTGACCCTAGCCGTAAGGTCATCCATCACCTGTATGTCTTTTATCCTATCTATTACACTCGAAATCTGCGGTAGGTCCTGCTGTAGCCATTTGAAGGCCATTGCCTGTCTCGCTGCTAACGTAATATTGTGGAGCAGCTGTTGCTCCCTTCGCGTCCATTCCTCAAACTTCCTTGCTCCGGGGCATTCCCACCACATGTGGAAGTACGTTCCCTTGGCTCCGCAGCCCCTCCAGCATAAATCTGTCGTAGTTTTGTGCATTTTGTACAGGGTTACGGGGTGGAGTACCAGCGAAACATTGTTTTAAACGCTTGCTCCTGGTGCCGTACACAGATTGAGGAGGTGTTGTTCGCCTCCCATATCTCCTGCCATTGTACCCCCTCTAGCTCTTCTCCCACCTCTCGGTATATGCTAATCCGCCCCATTCCTCCGTCTCTGTTCAGAAGTGCATATATAGTGTTGAGATCAGTCGTCTGGGTATGTTTTCTAAGGTGCATATGCGCTCAAAAAAGGTGAGGGGTTTTATCGCTGTTTCCTTAATGTGAGGCTGGGCTGCGAAATCTCTCATCTGTATATAGCGGAAAAAGTCTGTCTGTGTCAGATACCTGCCCTGTCTGAGTTCATCGAATGTGACCATGTCGTTACCCCGATATAAATGATGGTGCCTCTGTAGGCCTGCTCTTTCTAAATTCCAAAAATTTTGCGCCTCTATGCCCGGGTAAAAGACTTAGTTGCGTAGGATGGGCGTCGGGGGGACGGGGAGGACACAAGCCCATATTTCTTCCCATATGTATCCCACAACCTGAGGGAGTTTGCTACTGGAGGGCACGCTGCCCGTGTCAGGAGTCTGTTCTCCCTTGGGGCCCACATCACAAATTGGGGTAGATCTATCCCTAACATGAGCATCTCGATTTCCACCCATTTCCGAATGCCATAGCGCGACCTGGGACAGATAATAGAAAAACAAGTTCGGGAGACCCAGGCCCCCTCTCCGTTTAGGACGGTACAGTACGTGTCTCAATATCCGTGGCCTTTTATTTTGCCAAATAAAGCGAGCTATTGTCTGTTGGATTGGTGCTAATTGGGCCTTCAACAAGTGTATGGGTAATGCCTGAAACATAAACAGTATCCGAGGGAGGACATTCATTTTTATGGTGTGGATCCGGCCTATCCACGATATGGGCTTATCTATCCATTTTTCTAAATCTTTAGTTATGGTTTTCCATAGGGGAGTATAATTACGAGCATACAGGGCACTCGGGTCAGCCGTGAGGTGTATCCCCAAATATTTAAGGGCATCCCGCTCCATCTGAATTTTGTAATTGCGTTGTATGGTCTCTATGTCAGTTTGGGTCATGCATATAGGAAGAGCACTGGATTTTGCCATATAGCCCGAGATCTCCCCATATTCTTGCAGTTTCTCCCCTAAGGCCGTCATTGACCCTTCCGGGTTCGTCAGCGTCAAGAGAACGTCATCCGCGTAAGCTGCCGCCACGAACTCCCTCCCTCCCACCTTAACCCCCTGTATATTGGGATCTTGCTGAATTTCCTGCAACAGCGGCTCCAAAGCCATGACAAACAACAATGGAGACAGGGGGCAACCCTGTCTAGTGCCGTTGTGCAGGCTAAAGGGGGCGCGCCTGTGATCTGCACCTGCGCTCTCACGTTGCTGTACATAGCCTTCACGACGCTAATGTACGTGTCTGGGAATCCTAGATGTGGAAGCAAGGAGAACAGATAAGGCCATTTCACTCGATCAAAAGCCTTTTCGGCATCGATAGATACGATCAGTGTTGGTGTTTTAGTGGTTGCTTGTTTCCATATGAGGCTAATGTTTCCGCGGGTGTTCTCGAATAATTGTCTTCCCACTATGAACCCTACCTGGTCGGCATCAATGAGATGGGGAAGGAATGGGGCGAGTGTCCGCCTGGATTTTGGTTAATTAATGAGATGGGCCTATAGCTGCCTGGTAGCAGGGGGTCCTTGTCTGGTTTGGGTAGTAAGACTATCGTGGCAAAGGACATATCCAGGGTCGGTGTTCCCGCTGCGCGAAAGTCATTAGTTTATGTAGGTGGGGGGTAAGGGCCTCCTGGAAGGTCTTATAGTATGCCCCGTCGAAGCCATCAGGGCCAGGAGCTTTATTCCCGTTTAATCCCAAGATTGCCTTGTCGATTCTGCTTTCCGTTATTTCGGCCGCTAGGCCCTCCGCAGCCTCCTGTGATAGCCTGCGTAACTGTATATCTGCCAAGAACCTTTTTAGGCGCTCCTCCCCCCTAGTGCTCTCCCGTCTGTCCCCCGGGGAAATTATACCTTTTTATAGCCACCCCTCCAGTTTTCTACCTTTTGGGTGCTGGAGAGTAGTTTCCCTGATGTCCAGTCTGCAGCCTGAGGATGTTGGCTCTTGCAGCCTGCAACCCCTCCTCTCCTGCTTTCCCCCCCCTCCCCCTCTTTCTCCTGTCTCTCCCGACCTGGCCCCCTCCTCAGAACAGCTCCCCCGCAACTCCAATCTCTGAAAGGAAGTGACTCATAGCAAACACTTGCTCCCAAGTAAGGTGCCCAGTTGGGCTGTCAAATGCCCACAGGACTCGAAGCCCTGCTGACAAGGGCCCTTCGGGTGGTCTTAAATGAAGAGTCCATCCGATGGGCCTTAGTGTTTCCATTTTAAATTGCTTAGTGGGTATTGGTGGCCTAAACTGTTATCACTTTAAAAAAATTAATAAAAAAATATTACTAATGCAGAATTGTAACATACAGGGGCCAGGTCACAGGACCCTCTATTGTGGCTTAACACAACACGGGATTGTGTAAGGAGCACTGCTGCTTTATCACCACTACCGTCATACAGTAAGAAGACAGACTGTATTAATATGTTTTTATTGATGAATCATGATTTCATACAGCGGACTCTATAATGAAGTCTCCATGGCAGTTCCATGGCGCTAGGCAGGTTCTGTGATTAGATCCACCACAGGTAGATATTCTTCAGGTTACTTTTAGGGCTACGATCTTTGGACACACTCCCATCACTGCCACGGAGGAGAAGACAGACATCAGTTACTGAGCAGAAAAAAGAAAATAAATAAAATAAACCTGGACATACAAAGGATAAATAATACTAAGTCTGTTTTAACCAAGGACTACTGAGCAAATCTAATGAACTCACAAAGATTGTAACCTTTTTATTCTTAAAGGGTTACGACAAGCATCAAAATCACAACAGGTTCTTGTAGTACTGAACCATTACTTGGGGGTAAACTATTCTGCACAGACTGCCACGAAACTGCTTTCCAGTGGGTGCGCAGACACCAAGAATGGTAGCCGAGCTACATCCAGATTCCGCAGATGTCGGTATTGCCATTCATTCACTGTCTGCCAATGGATGCGTGCCTGCGCATGCTCACTCGGGGCCAGCTACTGAAAGTTGTTATGGTTACATCAGCAAAAAGCACAGTTAATCACACCAACACGGCCTTTCTTATAGCAGCGATTTTCTAAGGTAATTCAATAGGGGAAAAACCATCCCAAAAATGGAAAGCATTTTGTACAATACAAATAATTAAATAAAGCACCTACATCTCTACAGCATAGATTTAACTAATACAAAACACTCTGGTGATGTCTGAGATCTAAACTTTTTGGATAATCTTTTAAAATGATTTAGTATTTTATTAGCGGCAGGGAGACACCTCAAACTATCCCAAGCATGATCTAGCAAGCTGTACAGGAATAATCGAGGCTACCACGAGCCTGGCACCCCCCCTCCCCTACAGTGAGCAGGCTGGCACTCGGGCTATATTAAAAAACTTTTTTTGGTGATGTAACCCTTTAATTCACATTTCCTACACACAATAGGCTGCTGTGCGATAACCATCTAATAATGTCTGAGATTTTTATGACTTCCCCCCGGAGCGGCAGGGAGACGCCTCAAACTATCCCAAGCATGATCTAGCAAGCTGTACAGGAATGATCGAGGCTACCACGAGCCAGGCCACGCTGGAAAGCTTGCACAGGGGGTTCAGGCCACTAAAATGTCCATATCACTATACGAACCTTAGGTCACAAATCTCTTCAATTATGCAACAATGCGACCACTAGCTGTTTTTCTCTCCCCCATCTTCTTCCTGCAAAATAAATAAATGTTAGACTCACCTAAAAGAAAATAAACGTCACTAATCCTTTCCACACCCGAGGACTGAACATGGCATATTGAAGAAGCATTAATTAAAATTTAAAAACCTAAATATTTTAACATATTACATAATATACTTTTAATTATAAAAAACAAAAAACAAAAAAAAACACAACAACCACCTACCCACCCGACGATAACCATCTAATAATGTCTGAGATTTTCATAACTTCCCCCCGGAGCGGCAGGGAGACGCCTCAAACTATCCCAAGCATGATCTAGCAAGCTGTACAGGAATGATCGAGGCTACCACGAGCCAGGCCACGCTGGAAAGCTTGCACAGGGGGTTCAGGCCACTAAAATGTCCATATCACTATACGAACCTTAGGTCACAAATCTCTTCAATTATGCAACAATGCGACCACTAGCTGTTTTTCTCTCCCCATCTTCTTCCTGCAAAATAAATAAATGTTAGACTCACCTAAAAGAAAATAAACGTCACTAATCCTTTCCACACCCGAGGACTGAACATGGCATATTGAATAAGCATTAATTAAAATTTAAAAACCTAAATATTTTAACATATTACATAATATACTTTTAATTATAAAAAAAAACAAACAAAAAAAAAAACACAACAACCACCTACCCACCCGACGATAACCATCTAATAATGTCTGAGATTTTCATAACTTCCCCCCGGAGCGGCAGGGAGACGCCTCAAACTATCCCAAGCATGATCTAGCAAGCTGTACAGGAATGATCGAGGCTACCACGAGCCAGGCCACGCTGGAAAGCTTGCACAGGGGGTTCAGGCCACTAAAATGTCCATATCACTATACGAACCTTAGGTCACAAATCTCTTCAATTATGCAACAATGCGACCACTAGCTGTTTTTCTCTCCCCCATCTTCTTCCTGCAAAATAAATAAATGTTAGACTCACCTAAAAAGAAAATAAACGTCACTAATCCTTTCCACACCCGAGGACTGAACATGGCATATTGAATAAGCATTAATTAAAATTTAAAAACCTAAATATTTTAACATATTACATAATATACTTTTAATTATAAAAAAAAAACAAACAAAAAAAAAAACACAACAACCACCTACCCACCCGACGATAACCATCTAATAATGTCTGAGATTTTCATAACTTCCCCCCGGAGCGGCAGGGAGACGCCTCAAACTATCCCAAGCATGATCTAGCAAGCTGTACAGGAATGATCGAGGCTACCACGAGCCAGGCCACGCTGGAAAGCTTGCACAGGGGGTTCAGGCCACTAAAATGTCCATATCACTATACGAACCTTAGGTCACAAATCTCTTCAATTATGCAACAATGCGACCACTAGCGGTTTTTCTCTCCCCCATCTTCTTCCTGCAAAATAAATAAATGTTAGACTCACCTAAAAAGAAAATAAACGTCACTAATCCTTTCCACACCCGAGGACTGAACATGGCATATTGAATAAGCATTAATTAAAATTTAAAAACCTAAATATTTTAACATATTACATAATATACTTTTAATTATTAAAAAAAAAAAAAACACAACACCCACCTACCCACCCGATGATAACCATCTAATAATGTCTGAGATTTTTATAACTTCCCCCCGGAGCAGCAGGGAGATGCCTCAAACTATCCCAAGCATGATCTAGCAAGCTGTACAGGAATGATCGAGGCTACCACGAGCCAGGCCACGCTGGAAAGCTTGCACAGGGTGTTCAGGAAGCAGATTATGTACATGTTGTAACGGACCGTTTCTCTCACAAGAGGATAAAAACCGTTTAGGCGATAATCCCCTTTCCCATAGACCAGCAGCTACTGCAATCACCAATCTCCCAAACTCCAAACTGTACGAATCCCCAACTCCCTAACAGGAAACACACGAACCCTGGAAGCAGCCGAACAGGAAAAGCCCTAAGAACAGCTTACACTCCTGGCAATCGGCATACAGTCAAATTCCCCCCCAAGAATGAGACGACACTTCACTTGGAGGGTTAAACAGGAACAACACTGCTGGCACACCCAGCCTGGTTTTTATTACAGTCTTGCACATACAGGACCGCCCACAGGGAGGTATAAAATAACCAATCAAGTAACAGTTACAGCCCACAATGCATCACAATCCCTCCTCCCTGGCCTGGAGATAATTGGGGAAGGAATCTAATTATCTCCCAGGACAGAGGCAAAACTCCATTACCCACATGGCAGACAAAAAGACAGTAAAAGACATAAAATTACATACTGATACATTTAGTACATAAAACACACATTTCTACACATGCCCAGATAGCTTTGAGCTGAGCACACATTATTAGATGAATGGCACTCAGATCACATGAATAAGCCTTTCTGCAGGGAAAATAAATGGTTTAACCTGCAGGGCCATAGTCCAAAGGGAGCAGGCGAGCAACCAGGCTTCTCCAGTTCACAGTGGCGAGGTTGGTTTCGCCACACATGTAATCCTCTCCACCTCCACCACTAAACTACATATCCCAGATAGCCTTGCTGGATTGGAAAACACAGGGTGGGCTAGGATTGGCTGAGTGGTTTCAATCACTTCCTAGTCCTTCTCATATAATATTCCAATAAAGTTCAAGCAAGCTGCAGAAGGTAGGCCACGCCAGGAGACTTACACCTGCCTCTGATACAATTTAATGGTAAATAACCCTTGAATAGAATCTCTTTATTTCCCACATACAATGTCAGAACCCAGAACTGACCTGCAGGAGAAGGAATGATGGATACATGTCTGCCTGGTCTGTACTGGACATTGAATTCTTCATCCTTTAATGGTTTTACTGTGAAATAAAAACACAGAACAATAAAACCAGAACCAGTGACCTGGAGACTCAATGTACAATCACATCCCTGTCTTATCCCTCATGCCAGGCTTTCTTGCAGTGTGTCAGGATCTCAGTGCCCTATAATGTAGTGCCAGCCTCCCACAACATATGTTCAGAACTTTATGTATCAGTCCGTCTATCTCCCCCCCCCATACACACGCAATGTATCAGTCTATCTCCCCCCATACACACGCAATGT